ATACCAGTATCGGGTACTTCCTTTTGGTCTAGCTCTATCACCCCGCACGTTCACGAAATGCGTAGATGCAGCTCTAGCCCCGCTCAGGCTGCAGGGCATACGTATTCTGAACTACATCGACGACTGGCTGATTCTAGCGGAATCAGAGCAGTTGGCGGTTCGGCACCGAGGTGTCGTTCTCGCTCATATGCAGATGTTGGGGTTGAGGCTCAATGCCAAGAAGAGTGTTCTTTCTCCAGTACAGAGAACCACTTTTCTTGGTGTGGTATGGGATTCAGTGACAATGCGGGCCACTCTATCGCCCGTTCGTGTAGCTGCTATCCTGACAGCCACAGGAGAGCTGAGGCTAGGCCAGTCACACACTGTAAAACAGTTCGAGAGACTGTTGGGTCTCTTGGCAGCAGCGTCCAACGTGATACCTTTTGGCCTGCTGTACATGAGACCTTTGCAGTGGTGGCTCAGGACCAGAGGGTTCTCCCCGAGGGGAAACCCACTTCATATGATCAAGATCACGCGGCGGTGCCTTCGTGCCTTGGTTATATGGAGGAAACACTGATTCTTAACCCAGGGTCCGGTGTTGGGAGCTCTTTGCCATCGAGTTGCTATCTCGACAGATGCTTCCCTCACCGGCTGGGGAGCGGTAATGGAAGGCCGCTCGGTTCAGGGTCTGTGGAGGGGTCATCATCTTTCGTGGCACATAAATTGCCTGGAGATGATGGCTGTCTTCAATGCGTTGAAGCAATTCCTCCCAGACCTGAGGGGCCATCATGTGCTCGTCCGTACAGACAACACATCGGTGGTCTCTTATCTGAACCGTCTGGGGGTCTGCGGTCGCGTCCGCTTTGCAAGCTGGCGCACCAGATCCTCCTGTGGTCTCTGGGGAAGGTACTCTCCCTGAGGGCAGTGTATATTCCTGGGGACCAGAATATTGGGGCAGACATCCTGTCGAGGCAGGAGCTGAGGCCAGGGGACTGGAGACTCCACCCCGAGGTGGTGGAGAAAATTTGGGAGTTTTACGGCCAAGCAGAGGTGGATCTGTTTGCGTCTCAGCATACGACGCACTGTCCACTTTGCTTCTCCCTTACTCACCCAGCCCCCCTGGGATTAAACCTATGAGATATACTGAGATAAAGATAATTGATTAGAAGCTTTAAAAGATCGAAATTGGGAATGTCACTATATGTGAGCTGAACTTCTCATCTTCTGAATATGAACAGAAGCCACATCTCCCCCCAAAACTTGAGATGGAGATTTTAAATGAAGCCTCGATAGGCTGAGATTTTAAGATGCATTCATCCTGGGTATGAATATAGGGAGAAAATAAATAAAAGCAAAGTTAAATAGCATATGCACCAGCCCTCGTCTTTCTTTAAAAATAGGTCCGTAATTGACCTTACATTTATAAATGATGAGGCTGTCGCCAGGCGACTTCCCGAGGAGCCACGAAAGGCAGAGATGACACATTGGCATAACTGCTATCAGGGAAGCTACGATACGCGCAAAATATTTGCTTTAGCGTACAGTCATGAAAGCTCGGTCAATTGTAATGTCTCGGTAGGCTGAGTTCATGTATCGGAACCGAGATTAGTTGAAAGCTCGATAGCATAAATGTAATAGGCTACATATAGCCATGAACCGATCACAGTGATTGTAAAATAGGTCCGTGATTAACCATATATTTATAAATGATAAGGGCAGTTGCCAGGTCGACTTTCCGAGGAGGCACAAGAGGCAGAGATAAGACATTGAGATGATTACAATCGGGAAAGCTACGATTTGAGTTTATGAACGAAGGCTGCGATCGGCCATGAAAAAAAAAATTGGCTTAGAGTACAATCATGAAAGATTTTTCAATAGTGATGCCTCGATAGGCTGATGCCTCGATAGGCTGAGTTCATGCATCAGATCGAGATAAGTCGAAAGCTTCGATAGCATTACTGTAATAGGCTACGTTTAGCCATGACGCAATACCAGTAATCGAAAAATAGGTCCATTTTGACTTTATATTTATAATGATAAAGGCTGAAGCCAGGGAGACTTTACCGAGGAGCCATGATAGGCATAGATATGACATTAAGATGATTACAACCAGGAAGCTACGATATGCATTTATGAACAAAGGCCGCGATCAGCCATGAAATAATTGTCTTTAGGGTTCCAATCCTGAAAGCTTGTTCGATAGCGAAACCTCGATAGGCCGATGCCTCGATAGGCCGATGCCTCGATAGGCCTGCCTCGATAGGCCGATGCCTCGATATGGCCGAGTTCATGCATCAGAACTGAGATTAGTCGAAGGCTTCGATAGCATTAATGTAATAGGCGTCGTTTAGCAATGAAACATTACCAGTGATCGTAAAATAGGTCCATGATTGACCTTACATATATATGATGATAGAAAGCTGAAGCCAAGGCGACTTTTCAGAAGAGCCATGATAGGCATAGATATGACATTAAGATAGTTACAATCAGGAAAGCTAAGATATGCGTTTATGAACGAAGGCCGCGATCGACCATGAAATATTTGGCTTAGAGTACAATCATGAAAGCTTGTTTAATAGTGAAGCCTAGATAGGCTGATGCCTCGATTGGCTGAGTTCATGCATCGGAACTGAGATTAGTCGAAAGCTTCGATAGCAATAATGTAATAGGCTACGTTTAGCCATGAAACGATACCAGTATTCGTAAAATAGGTCCATGATTGACCTTATATTTATTATGATAAAAGCTGAAGCCAGGAAGACTTTTCCGAGGAGCCACAATAGGCAGAGATATAACGTTAAGATGATTCAACCAGGAAAGCTACGATATGCATTTATGAACGAAGCCCGCGATCAGCCATGAAATATTTGGCTTTGGATTACAATCGTGAAAGCTTCACACAAGTTATGCCTCGATAGGCAGAATTCGTGCGTCGAGAACGAAATCAAGTCGAAAGCTTCGACAACAATAAAAAATAAATAAAATGGCAGTAATCGTAGAATTTCAGAAGCTGTGGTAGGCTTAAAAATATTGCAGCAATCAGAACCGAAAGTTACGATAGACATAAGCAAGGATACGAATAGCCTTGGAGCGTTGTTATTATGGTATTTTCAAAGCTATTCTTCATTAATCGATTATGGGATGAGTTGATGGTAAAGAACGAAATAAAGAATGCCACGATTGACTCCGTGTAACTAAACAGATTAGCAGTGAAAAGCGGACGTATGATAGATGTATGGATTGTTAACCACCACCAGTAGCTAGCGAAGAAATTTACCTCGAATGTCGGTTGAGAGGGCTTGTTGAGCATTTAGTAGAACATACGTGTCGGATCTGATGTAGGTCTTGTATGCTGTGGACGACCATCTACCAAGCATTTGGATAGGGGAGTCGGGAACGCTGCATTCGGCTACTGTTGTTGTGGCTCCGATACGAAAGGAATACCCAGTGTATATATGTGGAGAAAGACCGGAGAATTAAGGAGGAAGCTACATGAGTTCAAAACCAGTGCTTTGTCATTGGAAGACCGTTCGCTTATATGAAAAAAAGGGAGTATTGAAGTGTGGTCATGCTTTGAGATATGACCAAAGAAGTATAGGGGCAATAGGAATTATAGACTTTAGATATAACAACGCCAGAGACTCCAGAAGAATCTGTTTTCGAAAACTTAAATACATTTAAAAGGTGGGAGAAAGACGTAAATCGGAAATAGACAAGCCACGAGCCAACTTAAAATGTTTTGAAACAGATGCGAATTCCCCTGATCAAATAACCTGTAAAACACGGTTAGAAACGCTTTTTCTTGGATGCATGAGCCATGCACGCTGTTAAAACATGGCTATATGTATTATTATTTTTGTAATATTTTTATATATATATATATATATATATATATATATATGAACTATTAATTGCTGTTGATTTATGATCGAATAAGAGATCGTTTATTTACAGAAAACGAGCTGAGATTAAATAGTGTGCCCCCTTTTATTAGTTGAAGTCTGCAATCATCAAGGTATAAGTCGAGATCTTTCCGGCGCTCGGGAAGTGATTGAAAAAACATCTCCATAAATGCATTACCAGAACAATAACAAATTCAGAGAAGGGCGTAAAACGAGTTGAATAGCCTTAATAGGTACTGCTCCTTTAAGATGGAAAGCAATTCGTCTCGTCTCTCACAGTGGTGAGTGAGCAGATGAGGAGCGCGAGCTGTAATATATGGCATACACATATGCGATTTAATAACAAAGTTACTCTTAAGCTTGATTAAATTCTATTCAGCAACCCAGTTGATAGTATTTTGCAACTGGCCGTGAGTGCGTGACGATGTAGTTAACGTTACGTGAATCTTTGCATACACTTACCATTTCAATGAGCTATTCGGCCCACTGTTTACTGTTTAAAGCGTTGCAATATGTTGCGTTGCAGACTGCAGTATCGGCAGTTATTTTAAAGCTACCACGTCACCACATTTGAACTTCACGTCTTGAAGGGAACAGAAGAGTAGCAAGTTAATATACTTACCTGAATGAAGTTTAATCGTAGTAAAAGGGGAACTTTTTGAAAAACACTGAGTGGAGATCGACTCTCATGAGATTTAAAGCTGCCACACGTTTGTTTCTTACACAAGTGTGTCGCACTCGCGCATCGCGAAAGTTGCTGAGATCAAAATCAACGATGTGACTTGTGTTGTTATGTTTGGTATCGAAACGCGAGTAAGTGAACGCCAGCGCCTGTTTCTGCGAACTGAATGGAAACGTAATTGGCATCGAAAACTTTGCTACGACACCTGCGGGCAACAACATGGAACGGTAGGATCAGTCTTTTATATTCAATGTCGAGCTGTGATTGGTTGCGTGGAATTATAAATTAGTGACGTGCAATGGAGTCTTTCTGGTAGAACTTACGCTTACGCTTTCATTACTTCCTGCATAGCTACTTGTTAACTACGGTCCATTATTCTAAAGTGTTACCCTGTTTTCTTTAACTGTGTGTGATTGTTTCTGTTTCTCTCTCAACAGTATGTCACAACTCTATGTAAAAATATTCATGCCAGCTTTGCCTGTGAGTGACACATTAAATTTATTAACTTGTAAAATGACTAACTATAAAGTAAAAAAAACTATTCCTCCGTATCTAATTAATAATGTAGAAATGTGCATAAGAAAGTTAATTTTTCCTTCCAATAATTTTTTTTAAATACTGTTTTTGTTGGCATCCTTAGGCTGCATTTATTTATCAGCTGCAGGGACGATACCTTCAAAATCAGGTCTGGCCTCCATTGCAGAAAATCTTTCTTTATTCTTCTTTTCTTCTTCTTTTTCTTGACCTTGTTTGTATATGTATATATTGCTGCAGTCCTGATGGTCTGTTTTTGATTGTATATTTGTTTAGGGTATTATTTGGCCTCAGGTCATCACAGGAGTAGCAGGGAACGTCCTCAACGCTTTAATAAACTACATCTTCCTTCATCTGCTAGATCTTGGTGTGCCGTAAGAACCTGTCTAGATTCGGTTTATCTCATATTTAGGAACTTGGTTTGTTGTTTTTACTCATTGTGAAGGATTGTGATAAGTGTAAACTTCTGGGTTATTTCAGTAGTTACTTAAAAGGTCAAATGATTTATTGGATTGTCTTATTAACTCACAGTGGATCTGCTGCTGCAAACACCATTTCCCAGTATTCATTGGCTGTGCTTCTCTTTGTTTATATTCGCTGGAAGGGCCTGCATAAAGCCACCTGGGATGGTATCTATCTATCTATCTATCTATCTATCTATCTATCTATCTATCTATCTATCTATCTATCTATCTATCTATCTATCTATCTATCTATCTATCTATCTATCTATCTATGTAGTAGTTCAATGAAATGTTGCAGATGAGTGATGACATCAGTTTTTTATTTTTTTCTGAAAAACATGCTGAAATCTTCAAACGATAATTATTTGTTATTAACCTGATTATTGTTTTTTACCCCGATCACCACTTGTCATTATAGGAAACTAATGCAACTAATTACTTTACATCAATTACAGTTCCATGCAAGCACTTCTAGGTCTCCATCTGTTACATCTCTCTCTGTCTCACATTAGGCTGGTCTAGTGACTGTCTGCAGGAATGGGGTCCATTCATTCGCTTGGCTCTTCCCAGCATGTTCATGCTTTGTGTACAGTGGTGGGCATATGAGATTGGTGGAATCCTGGCAGGTTTGCAATCTGTCTGAGTTTTTATGTAATTCAATTTAGTTTGTATCATGAATACATTATATTTGTTGTGCTGTTTTTTGTCATTGTAGGCCTCATCAGTGAGGCTGAGCTGGGAGCCCAATCCATTGTGTATGAGCTGGCCACTATTGCGTTTATGGTATGTTTTTCAAAGGTTCCTTGGTTTCATGAATATATACACCTGTACTGGTTTGAGGATCTTCTCAAACCGAACAACACCAGCTGTTTGCTGGTCAATGGGTCAAGATATTAGCATTACATTTATATGAAAGATAAACTGAAATTGGAACCTTTTGACAGAACTGTGTAACTAATATGTGTTACATTTCTGTTATTCCATATTCAGTCAAGACTTCAAAGAGTCCTTTTAGATGTTTTTCTTCCTTTCTTTTGTTTTATCAGTTTTGTGTACCATTAACAAATATTTTGTTATCTACTGCCTGGGTGGTAAAACGTCTCAGCATGACTGGTATCTGAAGCAACTGTCAAATCACGGCAATCGTATTGGCCAGTGACAGCCAGACTAGGGCTGCAACTAACGACTATTTTAATAGTCGACTAGTCACCGACTATTGAAACAATTAGTCGACTAATCGAATAATTATTACATTTTTCTAAAATTTAGCATGAGATTGCTTTAATTTTGTGGAAAATGATAGTAAACACAAAAAAGAAGGGGGTACTTCAATGAAAAATGCATATTTTATTGAACTTTGCTGCTGATAGGCCGATTCATACTAAAAGTAAATAAAAATGCCCTGTCTAAAACCAATTAGGCACAGTGCTCGGTCAGTATAGACATAAATACATAAATAAAGAAACTCTATCATTTTTATAAAGGACAGGCACATTTGTTTTATAAGAAAAAATTAATTAAAATCAAGTAAACATTTTCTTCCTGTAAACCAGGGGCAGGCACATTAGCAGCAATAAAACAGTAAACAAAAACATTAAGTGCATTTTATGAGATACATTCAGTGGTCAATCTGTTGCAAAAGAACTTTACAACTCGTCTCAACATTATGAAATCTAACGGTTTTAAAATAAGAATTTAAGTTGTAAACATGGACTGTGTGATACTACCTGGACACAAACCTGTCATGGTGGACAGACCAAGTTTAAAATCAACATGAGGCTCAGACTATGTCGTTCAGTTTATTCATATTAAGGAAAGGCAGCATATCCACATGGTCTCGTGTGAGACTTGCTCTCTTCTGGGAGCAGATTTTTCCTGCTGCTGAGAAGATTCGCTCTGCAGGGGTGGATGTTGCAGGAATGCACAGAAGAGATCTTGCTAGGTTTGACAGTGTGGGAAAACGCCCCTCATTTTCGCTCCACCAGCTGAGAGGGTCTTCTTTTTTGGCTATTGGTGGCTCTGTGAAGAACATCTGAACTTCCCTCCTCACCATTTGGATTTTTTCGTCCTCCTGGGTTTCCTCCTCTTCCTCACTCAGACTGTCAGTGTCAGACTGAAGCAGGTTATCCAGCGCAGACTTTCCCCCTGGGATATGACCCCTCTTCTTCTGCTGTAGCTCCTCTGGGTCATCATGTAGCCCAGTCTTGGCCTTTGCTTCTTTGATAGCAAGAACTTCAACTGTACTTTGCACCCTTGTGTCATCTTCAAGTGGGATAAACTTCAGCTTTCTGAATCATGGGTCGATGGCAGCTGCAAGAACAAGTGGGTTGTCTCTCTCTGCAGACACAGTGTTAAGATTCTCCCATCTCTCACTTATTCCTTTTCCTGCAATGGCTTGAAAGGCTTTTCCTGAGCTTGTCTCAAACTGGGTTTGCTGTATGGACCGTTGCAGCCCTTTGACCAGCTGTGGAAGACATGAAGCAGTAGCATACTCCTGCCCACTGAGGAAAACGGTAGCACATTCAAAAGGCCCTAATCCTTGCACCAGCTCTTCAAGTAGTACCCACTGCTCTGGTTTCAGGTCAAAGTAGTGCTTGCCTCTTGGTGTTACCTCAGGGTCTGAGAGAGTTGCAGTGACTGGCCAGCGCTGCTCCAGGAGTCTTGCTACCATGTAATAGGTACTATTCCATCGCGTACTGACGTCCTGGATCAGCTTGTGCTATGTGGTGTTCATTTGCTGCTGCTTCTTCTTCAGTTTTGAATTTGCCAGGTCACTTCTCCTAAAGTACTCATCTAGGTTTCTTGCAGCACCAGTAGCTTTGTTGATGCTGGGATCTTTGAGGGCACTGTTGATGATAAGTTGGAGGGTGTGGCCAGCACAGCGGACTGAAGACCAACCGGGTTTTTCTTCCAGGAGTCGAGCTGCCGCCACCATGTTAGACCCGTTATCATGTACTATTGCTTTAATTTTGCTAGGCTCTTCCATGCATATCATGATGTTCGCAGCAGTATGCCTCTCCTCCATGGGTATAGTGGCAAGGTTCAATGTCTTCATTTGCCAGTCTTTGGTGATGAAATGACACGAAACGTCTCAGTTAAGTATGTAACCCTCGTTCCCTGAGTAGGGAACGGAGACATAAGGAAATGCCATGGGTCTGCGGAATTTGCATAGCGTATCTCCGCCCCACCGCGTGGGTATATAAGGAGAGATGCCGGCAAAGGCAGATCATGTCTTCGCTGAGGAGCCGAGACTAAACTCAGGCATCTACCCAGCGGTACAGGGAGTGGCAGGGAGACGTAACGTCTCCGTTCCCTTCTCAGGGAACGAGGGTTACATACGTAACCGAGACGTTCCCTTTCGTAGTCACTCCGAGTTGCGTCGGATGACGGAAAATGGGGGTCCCCGTGTAATCACGCCACCTTCACAGCTGTCTTCCAGTGCCCTGCGGAGTCTGATCTCCCTGTCGTGATACTGGCACGGACGAAGGAGTCCTACTTAACACAGGAATACCAAGGTACACTGGGAAGCATATCTCAAAGGAAATATGCCGCAGCACGCCTACCCGTAGGGAGGACTTAGGAATACCCATATGGCCCGAGGGGGCTTCATATGGAGGAACACTGGAGAGACCAGCCCGTGGGGTGGCAACTTTCAACTCTTTCCCTTCAGTCTCCCACCATAACAGACAAAGAACTGGTCTGAGGTCCTGAAACACTGCGTCCTGCTACGTAAGCATGGAGAGCGTGTACTGGACAGAGCAGTGCCAAGGCTGGGTCTGCCTCCTCCAGGGGCAGCGCTTGCAGGTTCACCACCTGGTCCCGGAAGGGAGTGGTGGGAACCTTGGGCACATATCCAGGCCGGGGTCTCAGGATCACGTGAGAGTGACCCGGCCCGAATTCCAGGCACGCTTCGTCAACGGAGAATGCGTGCAGGTCCCCTACCCTCTTGATGGAGGCCAATGCAACCAGGAGCGCTGTCCTTCAGCAGGATTCTTTATTGAGAACACAAGCTGTGGGTAGCTGCAATCATTCGTCAAGTCTAACTAAGGCAGTAGATATTGTAGTTTATATACCTTTTAAGAGGGAGGGATTACATAGAGGTGGAGACACTCTGAAACAAAGCATGTAAATGAAGCACAGGATTCAGCTCGTTACCGGAAATTCCCCAGCCCTGATCTCATCAGCATAACAGTGTCATGTATAGATGGTGATCCAGTCAACCTGATTAGATCACTCAAACCTTAACATTATCATAGAGACAAAAGGCCCAGCTGTTTTTTGAGACGTGACAAAAGGTTAATGGATCACTCAAACCTTAAAATTATCATAGAGACAAAAGGCCCAGCTGTACTTTGAGAAGTGACAAAAGGTTAATGTCAGCAGGCAGGATTGCTTGCTTTAAATCTCATCATCTATGCTTCAAAGTGGAAAACGTCTCGGGTTACGACTGTAACCCTTGTTCCCCGAGAAGGGAACGAGACACTGCGTCATCGTTATGACACTTTGAGGGATCTGGTGTGCCAGTCTGCATAGAGGGCGCGACCTCAGACCCCCTTATGATTCAGATACGCGACTACAGAAGTGTTGTACGAGCGTATCAGGACATGGTAGCCGCGGAGGTCTGGGAAAAAACTCCCCAGAGCTTTGTAGACCGCCAGCATTTCCAGGCAGTTGATGTGCCAGGAAGAATGCCGGGTCTTCCACAGACCTCTCGCAAAGCGGCCGTCCATGACCGCGCCCCAACCAGTGAGGGAGGCATCTGTTGAAATGATGCTCCCAGCACCGGTCCCTGGGACAAGAACCAAGGTTTCCTCCTTATGACAAGGGAACGAAGGCATCTGCGCGTTACCCTGATTATATGGAACGGATTTCCCCTCGGGGAAAACCCCTTGGCTCTCAACCACCACTGTAGGGGTCTCATGTGTAGCAGGCCAAAAGGTATAACGTTGGACGCTGCTGCCCTGAGCCCCAGCAGTCTCTAAGGCTGCTTCACAGTGAGGTTGTGGCCTAGCTTCACTCTGGAGACCATTACCAGTATCGTCGTGGAGTCCCATACAACTCCCAGGAACGTAGTCCTCTGGGACGGCGTCAACACACTCTTTTTTGTGTTGAGTCTCAACCCCAGGCTCTGGATGTGGGCGAGGACGACATCTCGATGCCGAATCGCCAGCTCTCGCGACTGGGCCAGTATCAGCCAGTCGCCGATGTAGTTGAGCACCCTGACGCCCTCGAGCCTCAGGGGTGCTAGAGCTGCATCCATGCATGTTGTAAAAGTGCGAGGGAAGAGAGCTAGGCCGAATGGAAGAACCCGATATTGGGTTGGCTGGGATTGTGATGGGATTACGATGGCTGGGATTGTGAGCATCTTGAACCTGAATCTCCTCAGTGACCGATTCAAGTGCCTGAGATCTATTATAGGACGCAACCCCCCCATCCTTCTTGGGAACTATGAAGTACCGGCTGTAGAACCCGGACTTCCCTGTCTGGCAGAGGAACACGTTCTATGGCCTCCTTGACCAACAGGGATTGAACTTCCTGTTCCATAACGCGAACCTGCTCTGGGCCGACCACAGTCCAGACCACCCCGTTGAACTTCGGGGGAGGGGAGCTGAACTGCAGCCTGTAACCCAGCTCTACAGTACGCAGGGGCCACGCAGATATATTCGGAAGGCATGACCATGCGCCGAGATAATCTACTAAGGGAACCAGCCTCTCGAGCCTGGCTTCGGGTATCAATCGGGATTCGTTCTCGACCCCCTGAAGCGGATCTCCGGCAGGGTTCG